ATCGCGGCTTTTTTTTTTTTTTTTTTTTTTTTGGTTTTTGGCTGCTTGGGGCGGCCAAAACCCTGGAGCCAGCCCTGATGCTAGTTTTCAGAGCTCTTAGACCTATCAATCAGTCCCCCCTCAGTCACACTCGCTTCACGCCATCTCCCCCCACCTCCTGTAATCTTCAGGCCTTTTACCTGAAGTCTTCATGGTTAACACTGGTGAAGGAGTCCTGCTCTAGAGAAGTTCAGAATGTGCTGCTGAATAGTAGAAAACCATCAGCTAGAACTACTTATCTGGCTAAATGAAAGAGATTTTCCGTGTGGTCCTAACCTAAAGAGGTTTCCTCAGTCCTTACTTCTATTCAGTTGTGTGCTGAATAATCTTCTGTCCCTGAAATCAAGGATTGGCAATTTAGCTCAATCAGAGTACGCTTGGTAGCTATATCGGCATTCCATCTACTTGTTAACTGCTCCTACCCAATGTCTGTAAGATTTTTAAAGGGATTGGACAGGCTATTTCTGCACATACAGAACCCTATTTCCCTCCTCTCCCTCCCACCCCCCCGAAGCCTGAATCTGATCCTAACAAAGCTGATTCCCACTCCCCCCGAGCCTCTAGCGACCTACTGTCTGTTGCACCTTTCAATGAAGGTAGCATTTTTAGTAGCCATCAGCCAGGAGACGGGGAGTTGAGTGCACTAGTATCAGACCCTCTGTATACAGTTTTGTATACAAAGTCTTCCTTCGTCTTCACCCAAAGTTTCTTATGTAGGTGGATAACACTTCATATTAAACAAGCAATTTTCTTACCAACCTTCTTCCCAAAGCCTCCTGGTAATAATGGTTAGAAGAGATTTTACACTCCGGACGTTAGAAGAGATTTAGAGCAGGGGTCTGCACTGTGGTGCCCACGGGCGCCATGGCGCCCGCATACTGGCCGCTGGACAAGCAGCCACCGAAATGCTGCCAAGAAGCGGCAATGTCAAGAAGCGCTGCCGCCGAAATGCTGCTGATTTTCGGCAGCTACGTCATTGATGACGCTACTCGGCGGCATTTCGGCGGCGACACTTCTTGGCGTTGCCGCTTCTCGGCGGCTAGTTGTCCACCGCCCGCCACAGGGAAAGGTTGGGGACCACTGCTTTAGAGTTTTATCTGGATCTGACTAAATCTTTCAGCTTTTCTACTCAATTGTCCGCAAGTACAATGAACAGAATGAGAGGAAGTCCTGTTCCACTCAAAGGATATCATTTTTGATATCTAGTTGTTTGCCTAGGTTACCAGTTGGCTACCTGATAGAGGGTCATCGTGTCACATATTTGCCTCTCACTTTGTGCTCGCGCTCGCTTACGCTCTCTCTCTCTCTCAACAATCTAGAGACTGTTAAATTTGGACAAATGGTCCTCCAGTCCCTGTTCAAATAAACTTCGAACCCACCTCCAGTTTGGGTTGCTTGTGAGTTACCTAGTTCTTCAAGATATTTTGTACACGTCTATTCCACAACCCCCTCTCGTTTTCTGTCTTTTGGACCCTCCCGACAGGAAGGAACTTAGTCGGATCAGTGGTGGCTCCAATCCTTTATGCCTGCGTGCAGGGTGCGAGGCAGGAGAGGATGCTCATGCCACCACAACAGGTATTGCTGTTTTTGGGAAAAACTCTCCAACTGTGCACTGGAGCGTACACACATAGTCAGTGGGATGGACATGTGCAATACATCTCTAAGACCAAGTTATGGAAAGGTTAGTACCTGTTACTTCTGAAAGTGTTCCTAGTCCTCTTTCACCAAGGCATAAGTGTAGACTATTGGGGATTGATCAGTCGTCATTTTAATCTATGCTGATGTAAATCAGGAATAATTCCTTTGATGTTCGTGGACTTAAACCAATATAAAACTCGTATAAGAATGCAACACTGGCATCTGAATCGCGTGTACAAAGCAGTTGTCCTGGCCAGATTAGTTAAACTAGTTATATTCTGCCTACATAAAATGTTTCCTGTAGCTCTCAGTTAGTTATTTCCCTCTTTAAACTGCAGAGTATTGCTAGTGCAAACTAATTACTACTTTCCATCCCAAAGTTGAATTGCCTATTTATAAACTATAGTGTGAAAGCTATATTAGGATGTTAGTCTAGGGAATTAAAATATAAATCTAATTATTTGATTTCTAAGTCCTGTTGTTTGGAGTCAGAAAACTACATTCTAGTTAGACTGGTCAAGATGAAACTTAACATTTAGCTTGACTTCAACTTTTTTTCAAAACAGAATGCTAAACTTGCTCTAGTCTAGCTATATTAGGCAGTTATTTTAGATCCAGCTTCATTTGGTTGGGTTGCTGTTTATCAGTATGTGGTCTCTAATGCTCACATTCCTTGTCTGCCTTTGTTTCCTTTCCTCTCGCCCAGTTTTTCTGCTTCCATGTGTTTGATGTGTTTTTGGTGGAATATTACAATAGC